CCTGCTGTCGCTCGCCTGGGCCGCCTCGCTCGGCCTCGCCCTGCCCATGGCCGTCATCATGGGGCAGAAGCACGAGCTGGAGACGGCGGCCGGGGAGCCGGAGCCCGCGTCGCGCGTGTGCACCGCGCTGGTGAGCCGCGCCACGCTGCGGGTCTTCATCCAGGTAGGACAGCGGGGCTGGGGGGAGGCGGCCGGGCCTCCGCTCTTCCCGGAAAGCGGGCGTGTTCGAGGCTGACACTCGCGGCCCCCCAGAAAGTTGGCTGTCGTTGCCCCGTCTTACAAAAGACTCGGGGAGCGACTGGGCCCAGGGGAAGTCCTGGGTGAAATCCAGATTTTAATTCAAAATGAGCCCCCAAAGTCTGTGTTCCCACTGCTACAGGAGCGCTGCTCGAGTGGGGGTGAGAGCAGCACCACTGAACTGTTACTGGGAATAAGAACCACCTGGAGAGGCTGTGAGAACAGATTTCATGACCCACCCCAGGCTGTGTCCAAACACCCCCCCCACACCCCCCATGGCCCTGGAACAGACCTCCCTGGAGGTGGGGAGGGCAAGGGAGAGGCGCTCGGGTCCTCTAACCTCATTCCCTATCACCCTCCCGCCTCCTCGCCTCCCCCCCCACCTGCTCCCCTTGCTCCCCTCCTTCCCACTGCCAGCCGAACCTCTGGCTTTAAGGCAAAAGCTCTCTTTTCTGCTCTCTCCCTCTCTGCAACACTTCTCACCCCTCAAAGTGCAGCTGCAGTGTCACCTCTTCTCTAAAGCTTTCCCCCGACCCCCAGCTCCCAGGGCTCTCTCCTCTTCTGAATTCTCTCAGCCCGTGGTGCATCGGTGGCACTTTGTCATGCGTTTTCTGAAAGGGATCCTTGCCTTTCCTGAGTGTCTGTCTCACACGGCTCGTGGTTCCACCAGCCAGTGCCCTCCGACTTTGCTCTGGGCACTGCCCAAATGGATGTGATCCTGTGTGTCCAGCACAGTGAGGAAAGTGGGGAAGGCTGAGGCAGCGCAGGACCCTCCAGGTCTCCGGGAGACCTGAAAGGCCAAGGCAGGGCCGGGTCAGGCCTCTTTTCTGCCCAGGAGCACGTCAGGACATGTGCTGGCAGGGCGGCTGCACAGGTGACTACAGTGCCATTTCCCTAAGTGAAGCTCCTTCTGACTTTAAGCTTCTTCTGTATCTGGAAGCCTGGCCCGCCTGCAAGGTCGCAGGGCCCACTCTAAAGTCCTCTCTCCCTCTCTGAAGGCCCCTCCCTCGTTTGTGTCTGGTCTGTCCATCCATCCACCTATCCATCCATCCATCCGTCCGGCAGGGGCAGAGGACCGAAGCGCCTCACCAGAGGTGTTCACTCACCAACTGCATTTCACTCAGCAGAAATCAGAGGAATCCATGGGGACAGTCAATGTCTTAACATTTCATGGACGTTCAGTGGAGCCACTTTGTCCCTGTTTGCTCCAAGCATTCCTGGACTGGGGGACTCTCCTCCAGGTGACCTGTGGCCAGGCTCCTCCTGGGTCTTGAGCATGGCTCCCTGGTGGCTCAGGGTCCACGGGGTCCACCGAGTCGTCTTCAGAAGTGTTCCTCTGTGGAGGACTCCCCAGGCAGTGGGGCTTCTTTCTGCTGAACTTGTCACCTCTTATTGTTTTAAACACCATCTCCCTCTCCTAGTTCCTCTCTGGCAGGTGCAGGCCCAGAGCCCCCTGGCCCATCCCTCATAATCCGCCGTGAGCGACTGTCTGCAGTGCCTCTCCCCATCCCAGTCTGGGGGTCCCGGTGGGCACCAGGGAGCAGGCCATGGGGCCCCCATGAGTGTGGGGGACTGAGGGTCAGACCAGGCCTGGGAGGGCACGAGGGTGCCAAATGCCTGATGCAGGTTTATTTATTTGTTTCTTTGTTTACAATGGATTTATTTTCAAAGGAAATTGGCATTTAAAAGTTTATAACCTGTTTCTGAAACTAAAGAATTCAGCCACCGTGGAGGGGGGAAGAGGCTGAAGAGGACTTTAGTCAGGACTCTGTCTGTTGCAGGTGACAGAAACACAGCTGGATCTGAGGTGAGGACGTTGCGGCAGCTCTGGGACCTTGGGTCAGACCTCAGGACTCGCAGGAGCCCCTCTGCCTGTCGCTCGTCCCTGACTTGGACAAGGGCGTCTGGGTGTCTGTGGGTGGGGGTCACACATGCAGGCTTGTCCACGTGGCCTCTGGCATCCCCTCTGATAATTAAGTGAGATCATGTGACAGTGCCCGAGATACAGCGTGTCCTCAGTAAATGCTCCCCTTCCTCTTCCTGCCTTTCCCCTGAGGGTTTATCTCCAACTCTCCCCTCCCAGCCTGGCACAGTGCCTGGATCATAGGCCTGCATGACCAGGGCCTGTCGCCTGCGGTGACCACTGTGTCCCTGCGCTCCCCTCTCCCCTGCCTTCCCTCCCGCCAGCTCTGCTCTCACCGTCCTACCCCTCCCCCTCGTCCTCATGGACTTCCCGCTCCCTCCAACCCCAACTCAGCTCCATTTACCTTCTCTAGATTTACTTGTTCTTGTTTGTTCGTGTTTTTTTAGATTTACTTTTTAAAACAGCTTTATTTCGAATCAAAGTTATACATGTACATTTTTTAAAAATTCAAAATAGTTGTTGTTTGAACATATGTGAGTAAAGGGTGTGTTTCACATAAGGATCCCTGAAGTAGCTGTCCCCGTCACCTCCAGGGCAACAGCAGGGAGGACCACAGGGAGAGCACCAGCTCCCCACTGCAGCCCTGTCCCTCTGCTCCCTTTGCCCAGGGAAGTCTCCGCTGCGCTGTGGTCCACAGCCCCTCAGTGCAGCTCTATCAAGGGGCATCCTCCGCCTCTTGCCACATCAATCCATGTCCTGCTTTGCTGCCGGGTAGATCAGGTGGGATCCAGGGGCTGTGGCTGCCCGAGCACCTTCCTGCAGTCCCCTGACCTGGTGTCCTAACCTCAGAGGCTGTGACAGTGGACTGTGACTTTAAAGTGAAGCTGTCCAGCAAACGGGAGACATTTGAGGACCTGTTTGAATATGAAGACTGCAAAGTAGGCTGAGGCATTAGGGGTCCTGTCTACAAAGCCAGGAGGAAAGATGGTCACTTCAGGAGCTTGAGCATCCAAATGGCCTGTCTCCTTAGAAAGTGTTTCTGTTTTGTGCTGATAGGGAAGTACAGATTCTGTGTGACCTCTGACTTATAATCTATTGTCACAGGGCATCTAATACAAACAAGAAGCCAGCTCACTTACCTTGGGGTATAATTAGTCATTATTACATCAGATCCTAGATGGGATTCATTGCCCGCGTGTTAACTGGGTGTTGCATAGGAATATGGAACCTGCCAATATTTTTTTTTCCTTTTTGTCTTTTTTTCGTGACCGGTAACGGGACCGCAACCCTCGGTGTCGCACCCACACCGCGCTCAACCAGTGAGCGGACCGGTCTCTACATGGGATCCGAACCCTCGGCGGGAGCACCGCTGCACTCCCAAGCACCGCACTCCACCAAGTGTGCCACCGGGCCAGCCCGGAACCTGCCAATATTTTAATTATGGGCAAATGTCCTAAGCAAAGAAGAATCAAAATTGCTGATGTGGGCTTTGCCCAATTTTTTTGTTCACCTCTGAAGCCTTTGGCAGATTTGGATCCAGCAGTTAAAACATTCTGGTTCTGGGTCCCAGAACTACTTACTGAAGCATGAAAGTATCCTGAAGCTGCTGATGTGTGCGGTATAGGGTGTGTATTTGCAGAACTATGAATGTCAGAACTAATATTGATTATCATCAGAACTACTCATCTTTAGCCTTATGACAAGCTGGACAGAATATCCAGTTTAATGGAATTTTGTGCAATATAATAAAGAAACCTGAACATTCAACATTAATGAAGGATTTCAGAAGAAATATACATGCCAACTGTAGCCTCTACAAGATTACAGGAAAACATACAGTTAAACCCATAAGAAAACATCCTGTTTGCTTCAGAAGTTTCTTACTATGGTCCCCATAAAGAGGATTACTGGCTAGACAGGATCCCTGATTTTTAGAAGATCCACTTCCTATATCAGACATTTTTACAGGTTATCAAATTTCTTACCCAAATCTGGACCTGATGATGAAGGAATGAAAAAAGAAAAATACACACAAAATATCCAGCAGCAGAGAAGTAACCATACAAATGCAACTGACCACTGAGGGAATCAGGACAGCAGCCCTACCACACGGTCAGGTGGTATCATGACCTCACACCACAGCAGTCCCGTCCATGTGCCACCTGTCCCAATGTGGGCCCAAGCACATGGCAGCAAGCACAGAGCAGCAGGGGACACTCACCTGCCTCCCAGCAGCCTCCATGCAGCATAGCCATTGCACACTGCTCCTGCCTCAGGCCTGGCTGCACAGCTCCCTGCTGGACCCTGGCGTGGCTGTGACCTGGAACCAGACAACCACATGCTCAAAATGCCTGGTAGCCACATTCCACGCTTTTCACTGACTGGGTCGTGGCTTCCAGGCTGTAACTATTTTGGAGTCAGGCTTAAAAATAATAAGTGCCAACCAGGGTTTGTGTTGTGAATATGCTGCTGACATAGTTTCCTTGACATGGTTCAAACTGGCTGAGGCAATGAAGCTGTGAGACGCGCTAGGGCAAGCTTTTGCTGTTACAGGTAGGGAATTCCATCAGGGCATCAGCATTAGTCAACAAATATTACGTAAGAAAAATGTTTAACTTGAGACATACAGTGTTCATTAACACAACAACCACATTCAAATTAGGATTATTTTGGTTCATATTTCTTATTAGTGTCTTATCAGTGAGTTGATTCATTGTCCATACTAATCAGTGTTTTTTGTCCAAGAAAATTGCTCATAATTTTTGAAAGTACAAAGAGCTGTATAGTTTTCCCAAAAAGATTCCCAAACTCCCAAAGATGAATTACTAATTTAGGAATATATTTTTACTTTTTTTTTTTTCTTTTTGGCAGCTGGCCAGTACAGGGATCCAAAACCTCAGCCTTGGTGTTATCAGCACCACACTCTAACAGAGCGAGATAACCATATTTTTATTTCAATCTCTGTCTTGACTGGTACTAAAGCTACAACTTAATGGTGATTATGTTGTCGTTGATATAAACCTGTTTGGTTCCTCCACAAACAAAAATGATTGTCAAGTGGAGTGAGTTGTTTTTCTCTTGGTATTGCTGATTTCTGAGTATGCATTCAGATGAAAAAAGCATGCACTGTAACTCCTTAAAAAGATGCTGTGCCAAATTCAGATATTTTATATTGATTTAAAAGCTGATTTTTAAAGGGGGTATATGCATTTTTTTTCCTTTTTTTTTTTTTGTCTTTTTTCATGTCTGGCAACGGATCGCAACCCTCAGTGTCGCGCCCGTACCGGACCGGGACCGGCAACGGGATCGCAACCCTCAGTGTTGCGCCCGCACCTCGCTCAGCCAGTGAGCGGGAACCGGTCTGTATGTGGGATCCAAACCCTCGGCGGGAGCGCTGCCGCGCTCCCAAGCGGCGCACTGTAGCAGTGCGCCACCGGGCAGGCCCCTGCGTTTTTAAAAAATGTTTGCAAAGGGCAAGGAATAAGAGACGCCTGTTGTCCACAACTGGACTGGCCCGGGTGTGCTGGGCCCGTGCGCTCTGTGGCAGGTGGCACATGGCCGTTTCCCTGCTGGCCACATACCCCTGCACCCATGGCCGCAGGTCAGACCCCACCGTGCCCACTGGCCTTCCAGAGCCCGCCGTGCCTGCTGGCCTTCCAGACTCCACCGTGCCCACTGGCCTTCCAGACTCCACCGTGCCCACTGGCCTTCCAGACTCCACCGTGCCCACTGGCCTTCCA